TTTATTACTGTGTGTGTATTTTGTTTCCTCAACCAGACTATAACCTTGAGCGCCACAATACGTGTCTTATCTATTGATCTTTAGAATACCCACAGTACTTAGCATGTTGTTATGTCCGTGCCAGGTAATTAGTGGATATGCTAATGATATGGCACATGCACTGTTTATCGGCTTCCCTCTAGACTCCAAAACGTGTGAAAAGTTGTGCCTCGCTCATTGTAGACACTGAATAATGATACGTTGAACATAGCTACACTTATAGTAGAAGTAATGTAGGTGTGACTGTAGAACTAAAAAAAGAATAAGATATGCAGCAGCATGCAAAAATATGCAAAAGAATAAAATATGCAGAACTCTTTGCATGTTTCAAGGATTTGAATGTGGCATTATGTGACTGAACGAACCAAAGCCACACTGAGCTTGATTATTATGAAGGAGAAAGGTCCTGAGTAGTTTTAATCCTTGAGTGGTTCCAGAACTTTCCCATAACGAAGGTGGCTGTTATTATTTGATAGGCGCTGCTGAGTAAGAACCAACTCATCGCTGACCCTCAGTAGGTTTTCAGAAGCTGTGAATCGCCTGGCAAGTGTTTGCCCATCTTTTGTCCAGGGAGCAGCTGATGAATTCACCTCACCTGCCTTTTGGATTGGCAGCGCATCCTTAGCACTGAGCCACCAGGGGCTCCCTCAGTGAAGGTCAGAGGACTTGCCATCGGGTTGTTGTGACTCTAGAGCAGAGCAGAAATGCCTCTCAGGATTTGCAAGGTGTAACCTTTACAGAAGCCGACTTTTCCGTCGTTCTCACGTGGAGTTTTGAATGACCACCCTTTTCTCGGCAGCCAGGTGCTCACCCACTGCACTCCAGGCTTCTTCACATGTGGCTTTGTTGTTGTTTCTGTGCGCCCAGAGCATCCCTGAGGACAGCAGAAGGAGGCGCTCTGCCTGTGTTCACAATTGCTGCTGGACCTCGGCCAGTGCTGCAGCTGCTGTGTGACAGGAGTGCATCTCTGCACACCTGTGTTCACAACAGCAAAGAGCTGGAAACAACCCAATATCAACAACAAGCGAATGGATAGAGAAGCTCAGGTATATTCACACAATGGAATACTATGCGACACTGAAAAACAAGGAACTCATGCAATATTATGCAAAATGGGTGACCCTGGAGGATATGATGCTGAGTGAAATAACTCAGTCACAAAAGGACAAACACTGCATAGACCCACTCTTGTAAAACGGGACTGACATCAGGGTTGAGGGAAGACAGAAAAGGAGGGGAGGAATGATATATATTGCATTGAAACAGATGAGGGAGAGAACTGTTTAAAAGGGACGTATAAATGGGTATTCTTTTCATTACGGAAGTCCAGAGTGAAGGCTGCATGGTGGAATGGACTTGGGGGAAGGGATTGCATGACAATGAAAGAATGTTTCTTTTTCTTTTCAAGGAGAGGAGTTAATTGAGGGGCAGGGAAGGAGAAAAGTGCAACAGTGAGTGGCTGGAAACCTTAAGTCTCTGTAAACTTTCATTAAAATTAATTTTTTTTTAAAAAAAGAGTGCATCTCACTGTGTCTGGATCTTCCTTTCCCTCTGACTGTCCACCTTACTGGGTGTTTCTTGACTGAGTCTTTCTTCAGGAACTCTCCTCTCCTGATGTCCTACCCAAAGTATGTAAGACAGAGTCCCAGTATCCTCACTTGGAAGGAGCCATCCGGCTTTACTTCCTCGAGGACAGATCTGCTTGTTCTTTTGGAAGTCTGTGCAATATCCTTTCCAAAATACCACCATTTTTTTTTT